ATTAATCTTAATTAAAAAATTATCATATAATAAATACTTATAATTAAGATAATAAAATATAATTTTATTTATATGGACCCACTGCATTCATTGAATAAAATGAGGCATCCATATGAGATGCCACTATTGAAAAGTTTAAATGTTGAGAAAGGTGCTCAATTGGCATTTTAAAAGTAAAGTCCACACTTCAACATCTAGTGAGGGATGCTATCATTGTGGATGCTCATAGATTCATAGAAGAATTGGTCATTCCCCGGATAAGTATACTCAAAATAATGCCGGACACGTTCCTATATCGGAGCAAGCGGTTTAGAATCGGAACTGCTAGGAAATTGCACCTACCCGGAACCGTGGGAAATGTTCTAATTTTTGTTCTTAATTTGTGGTGCCGGAATCGGAACCCTTATGGAATCGAAACTGGTTTAAATGTTTTATGTTTTAACATTTTTTATGCTTAATTTGAATTTGTTTGGGGTTGATTCACAGTATTTACGATCAAGAAAAGAGTTTGGATTCAAGTACTCCGTATATAACTTTCTTAACAACAGTTTTACAAAAAAAATACTCCGTATCATTTAGAACCGGTTCAGAGTCGGAATCGAAACCAAAATTGTTTCGAAACTATATCTGCCGCTACAATGTACTAGTTTCTCTAAAATAGGTACATGTACCGTCGAAGAAAGTGTCTCAATTAAATAAAAAATTATTATGTACTACCTCCGTCCCAAAAAGATTTATATTTTTCAAAAAAATTGTGTCCCACAATCCTTTACCTATTTTTATTAAAATTTTTTTTTATTCCTTACTTTTTCAAACCATAACTATCACATCATATCTTTTTTCTAATAATTTATACATCACATCTTACTTTTACTCATCACATCAAGGGTATTTTTGAAAAGTCAACACAAAACTATCCCTCCCTTAATTTCTACTTTAGTCAAAACGTACCCATCTTTATGGGACGGAGGGAGTATATTATTTCCTTCATTCCGGTTTATTTTTTCATTTGGAAGAAAGTGCAAAATCTCATCACTTTAAAAATGATTTTATTTTACCCTTACTTTAATTTTTTTCCTGTTTTCTTTGAAAAGTACAAATTTCATTTGAAAAGTACAAATTTCATATTTTCTTTATTTTACCCTTACTTTAATTTTTTTCCTGTTTTCTTTCATCAACTTATCAAAAAAATATGAATACAAACATAAGTTATGAAAAGACAGTAATAGTGTTCGAGAAGATTAATTTGAAATGAGAAAAGTAATATATAAATGATTTTAAAATTTGATTTGATTTTATTAATAAAATTAAACGAATCCACTAAAAGGAAAAAAGTACCCCCTTCATCCCTAAAAGATTGTTACGTTTTAACTTTTTTGATCAAATTGTAGAATCTGTGGCACGATTTGACGATAAATTAAATATAGTTTAAAATAATTATTTTTTTTTTGAACAAAAATGCACATTTTTATCATTCACAAACAAACCAGTCAAAAAATTTTACACATCAGGTAACTATTCNAATAAAACATTCTTAAGGTAACCTTCTTTATCTTTATTCTTATTGTGAATAACATCATTCCTCTTTTTCCAGATGGTATAGCATACTGCCGCCCACCCTGCATTAGTCATTAGTTTCCTCCTCTTTGTCTTAATGTTCCCCAGTTCTGTCTCCATGTGCTCGAGGGAAGTGGCTTTGCATTTTATCCCCATCCTCATGAAGATTTCCTCTCTAATCTCCTTTGCAATAGTGCACTCCCAAAACAAATGCTCAAATGTCTCTTCTTTTTCTCCACAATTCACACATTCTGCTTGGACTTCCAGATATCTCCTTAGCCTGCTTCTAATCTTCAGCCTTTTATGTTTGATGAGCCAAAGAATCATTTGATGTTTCGGGTGTGAAGCTTTGCTCCAAACCCATTTGTACCACTCATTTCTCGGTGTATCCTTCAGCAGCCAATCATATCCCTTGCTTACGGTATACTCTCCTGGAATATTATAGTGCTTAAAGTCTTCTTTCACCTCATTCATCATTCTCCAATAATAAGGGCAATCCTTTTTTGGTGCGTAGGTCCATATGTTACCATCCTTAATGTACTTTGTGTGGACCCACCGGACCCACAAAAGGTCTTTTTTGTTAGCTATGTCCCAGATCAGTTTCATAATGCATGCTTTATTCCACATCCCCAGATTCTTTATACCTGCACCCCCTTTGTTCAAAGGTAGACAAGTTTCATTCCAGCTAATTGGGGGAGCTTTGGTGTACTCTGCTTTTCCTGTCCATAAGAAATTTCTACAGATGCCGTTTAGATCATGAATGACGGCTTCAGGAATGACAAAAATTCTAGCCCAAAAGTATAGATGCTAAACAAAACAGAGTTAATTAACTTAATCCTCCCTGCATAGGACAAGTGTCTCGAGCTCCAAGTTGTAATTCTAGTAGTCATTTTCTCTAGCAAGATTCTGCAATCAATCTTCTTAAGTCTAGCTGTACTTACAGTAACCCCCAAATAAGTAAAAGGTAAGATACCTTTACTCATACCTATAAGGGCAAGGAGCTCTTGCTGCAACTGTTGATCAGTCCCTCCAAAATATACCTGGGATTTGTTTGGATTCAGCTGGAGCCCTGCAGTTTCATACAGGTGGGCCAGACCCTCCATTACACAAGAGATTGAGGCATGATCAGCTTTACTGACCACTATTAGGTCATCAGCAAAGTTGAGGTTAATAAGCTTCATATCTTTACATCTGGGATGGTACTTGAAACTCCTTCTGTCCGCAAGGTAATGTAGGGTTCTTGTCAAGTACTCCATGGCCAGTACGAAGAGGAGAGGAGAGATAGGATCTCCCTCTCTCAGACCTTTACCCCCTCTGAAGAAACCATCCACCTGGCCATTAATTTTGATAGAAAAGGAAGGAGTGGTGATACAAAAGGATATCCATTTAATAAACTTCTCCGGAAATTTCATCCCTCTCATAAGCTGCACCATGAACTGCCATGACACAGAGTCATATGCTTTCATAAGGTCTAGTTTCATCATACATCTCGGAGAGTTCCCTTTTCTGTTATATCCTTTAGCAATCTCTTGACACATGAGCACATTATGCAATAATTCTCTTCCTTCAACAAACGCTGTTTGGTTTCCTGATACAATCATAGGCAGGACTTCCTTCAATATACTGGCAATCATTTTGGAGATGACTTTGTAGATTACATTGCAACAAGCAATGGGTCGAAAGTCATTAGGTGTGTTTGGTTCATTGTTTTTGGGAATCAGGGTGATGCAAGTTGCATTTACTTGTTTGAGGGTCTCCCCTTTCTCAAAAAATTTCATGATAGCCTCAGTCACAAGTTCACCTACTGTTCCCCAGCAACTCTTAAAGAACCCACTGGTGTAGCCATCTGGGCCCGGACTTTTGTGGTTCGGGATGCTAAACATCATCTTCTTAACTAAACCTGGATCAAACGGTTTAATCAGGTTAATCTGTTGTTCAAAGCAGGCCCGCCCAATGGGGTGTGCATGAGGTTCATTTGGACAGGGCCCCTTAGTTTGGAGGGCCCATTTTTTAAATATTACAAACCCATGAGTAGATTTAATTTGTTATTTTAGCCTAATACCGTGTGAGCATTCAATGCTTCTCCATTCTGGATTCTTATTCTCCTTCCCAATCCTTCAAGCGACACGGCTATTCGGTTCCTCCTCTCTCTTTAATTATCACCTTTATTATGGCTTCCTCTCTTCTATTTTATTTTCCTCCATTCTTGTGGCAGTTGTGAACTCAAGCCATCAAAACCATCATAAGGAATTTAATTTAAGGCTTATGTTGCTTCATAATTTTGCTTCATAATCTTCTAATTTAAGGCTTATGTTGCTTCATAATTTTGCTTCATAATCTTCTATTTTATTAATTAGTGCTTTGATTTATCACAAATTTTGTTTTAACAAAAAAATTGAGGCCTAAAGTATTTAATTGCACAGGGCCATTTTGAATGATTGGGCGGGCCTGGTTCAAAGGTAAGTGTATGCCCATTTCTCACAATGTCCTCTTTAATATCATTGCCCTGGATGTTGTCTCCCAGGAGCCTATTGAAATATTTCACCATCATGTCGCTGACCTCTTTAATATTGCAGGCTTCTTTACCTTCTCCATCATGTAGCTTAGTAATAAAACTTTGGATTCTTTTCTTCTTTATCCAAGCATGATAAAACTTTGTGTTTTGATCCCCTTCCACCACCCACTTATGTTTAATAAGTTGTTTGTGTAATAAGTAGAGGGCTTTAGCACAGGATCTAAACTCTCTGCCAATTTCCTTTTCTTTGTTATATGTATCCTCAGATGTGTCTCCTTTACAAATGCAACTTTGAACAAATAGGAGTTACTCTCTCAACGTGTCACATCTTTTGGAGATGTGTTGAAATTCTCTCCTGTGTAACTGTTTGAGGGGTTGTTTTAGCATCTTCAATATTATAAAAATTTGATGTTTTAAAACTATATTTTACTACAAATCTAATTTTACTAAATTTACATTAAAACTTAATGTACATTTTTATAATTTATGATTAAAGGGTGCCATAATTTGAACAAAAAAGTCAAACTGTATCTATCTTTTACACACCAGAGTATTTGTCCACTTTCATTTTTACACATCATTCAATACACTTTTTTGATCCATTTTATCTTGTAATTTGTATATTAAAAAATTATAGAAATTATATATTAATAATCTATATGTTAAGACAAATCAAACAAAATCACACATGACTATATTTAGGCTTATACATTAAGAGAAAAGTGCACAAATATAGCGGGACGGAAGTAGTAACTAGTAAGGAGTAATAAGATCCTTTTTTAATTAAAGATCCTTTCTTTTTCAGCAAGACATAGAAAAATAAAATAAGAGGAAAAATACGACACGACAAGTCACGTGACACGAGTCACACGACACACCAAACCCAGCAACCGCTACCATATAAATACCTCAACCCGCTCTCCAGTTTCCCGTCTCAACACTTTCTTCTTCTTCCTCCTCAAAACTCCATTTCCTTAACCATTTTTAACGCTCTCTCTCTCTCTCTCTCTCTCTCTCTCTCTAAGCTTAAGCATCTGCCATGGGGAAGATCAAGATCGGAATCAACGGTGAATGAGGAGAAACTCGTGTTTTCGCTCAATTGTAATTCATTGAGGAATCCATGAATCACTCATTAGCATCTCCATTTTCTCTGCAGGATTTGGAAGAATCGGTCGTTTGGTCGCCAGGGTAGCTCTTCTGAGCGATGACGTTGAGCTTGTTGCCGTCAACGATCCGTTCATCAGCACTGATTACATGGTGCGTTCAATTATTTTTGTAGTTTTGATTAATTTCTCTGCATTTCTAGGGCACTTAATAGAATCTAGAAGTTTGTTTTTGGATGAATGAGTCTGTAGTAGATTAGATCTGCTCGTTTGTAATTCCGTATGCGATTTTGTGTGTAGACATACATGTTCAAGTACGATACGGTGCACGGGAAATGGAAAAACCATGAATTGAAGGTCCATGACGAAAAGACCCTTCTATTTGGAGAGAAGGCTGTTAAAGTCTTTGGATTGAGGTGTGAATATGCAACAACAAACTTGTGGATACGAGGATTTTCAGGGAATTGGGTGCTTGTGTTTATGATTTTTTTGGGATGAATTCTCAGGAACCCGGAAGAGATTCCATGGGCTGAAGCTGGTGCTGAATTTGTGGTTGAATCTACTGGAGTGTTCACTGATAAGGATAAGGCTGCTGCTCACTTGAAGGTTTGATTACCCTGCTCAAGTTTTCATGTTTACTTTTAGAATGTTTTTGTTTGGTTAGTACTCTTTACATTACTATTCAATGTTCACCTTAAAAATGAAATTGTGTGGTTGAGGTTTATTTAGAAACGAAAAATATTTTTATGTGAATGAGTGATTAATTAGTCGGGGCCAAAAAGGAAAAGGGATAGGAGTAAAATTTTTATCTCTATAATGTAAAATACTATGTATCTTCTATTGATAGTCTAAGCATTTCTGTCTGCTAGCCCTTTTATGATCATCTTCTGAAAATTCAAAACTCGAAGAGAGTTATAATCTACTATTTTTTGTTGTAAATATGCAATTTGTAATGTTTTTTTGGTTGGTTCTGTGGTTCATCTTGAATGTTGTTAGTTTTACATGAATTTGCAGGATGGGATTAGCGTTGATGGTTAGTTGTTTTTCTTGGTTGAGCAGGGTGGTGCTAAAAAGGTTGTGATATCTGCTCCTAGCAAAGATGCTCCCATGTTTGTTGTGGGAGTAAATGAGAAGGAATACAAGCCAGAGCTGAACATAGTTTCCAATGCGAGCTGCACTACTAACTGTCTTGCTCCCTTGGCAAAGGTTATAACTAGTTCTGTCTCGTTGTTACACTTATATATGGAGTATAAAGTAGATCTTTTATGCTAAAAAACCTCTGATTACATCATTAGTTGCAAGAGGATGTTTTTGGGAGATAAGTGTTTTTTGACATGTGGTTTTTAATCTGATGAATGTGATTACGGATGGATCCAAGCGACCAAGCCTTTTATCTGACTTGGAACCATTCGATTGATATAAGATGGCTCCGATGCAACCATACAACTTGCATTGCATTGGAGTCATTGGATCTCAGTCTGATTGTTCTGACTAAGATAAATAACTTATTGGAAATATGACGTGGTTGATGATTTCATTGGTTAATATTTGATGGATTTGTTGTGATGAATGGCTGCAGGTCATCCATGACAGGTTTGGCATTGTTGAGGGTCTCATGACCACTGTCCACTCCATCACTGGTGAGTTGATTCTCTTTTGCAATCAAAGTTAAGAGATCATTGTTCTGACAAAATAGGTTTTTTCGCCTTTGCTTATTTTCTGTTATATCATTTTCCAGCTACTCAGAAGACTGTTGATGGTCCATCTATGAAAGACTGGAGAGGTGGAAGAGCTGCATCATTCAACATCATCCCTAGCAGCACTGGGGCAGCCAAGGTATCATGCATCATGGACGTTTTTGTCTCTTTTTTTCTGTGGTCAATACGTTTAGTTGTGTACATTTTTTTCGATTCATTTGCCTTTACTGTTTTGTGTAGGCTGTTGGAAAGGTTCTGCCAGCTCTTAATGGAAAACTGACTGGAATGTCCTTCAGAGTTCCCACTGTGGATGTTTCTGTTGTCGACCTCACTGTTAGAATTGAGAAAAAGGCTACCTATGATGATGTCAAGGCTGCCATCAAGTAAGCTATATTATGGTGCCCCGCAGCATATTGTTTCTCCAACCAATAGCAATTGAAATATTGAATCAAGTGTCTGTTGGTTGTTTTACGCATGATGATTTGCTGCACGCCGCTTTCAATCCATCCAATCTTCACACCCAATAAGCAATGCTGGCCACTCGGATGTGGGTTTGTGATGTTTTGGAAGGGACATTTGTGACATCTGATCCGGGATCACATGTCTCCTTACAAGCAGCGAATCGCAACACTTTTATAGTAGTATCATATGAACCCATTGTAACTACTCTTATGTTGTATTTGGTTTGGAGATACAAGAGGGGAGTGGGTGGAAAATGCTCACCTCACCTCATTTGGCTAAAAATTTGGAAGGGGAAGCAAAGTGGCTTCTGTCCCTTTCCTTCCGAATCGATAAAGGCTTTTTAAAGGGGAAGCAAAAGCACAATATGAACTCCTTCCCTCTACTAAAAACACAACAAACCATGCTAAAACAATTCTTCTCCACCCGCCACCACCATTCCCCTAAGCTTATACATTTACTGTTTCTCAGGGAGGAGTCAGAGGGTAGCCTCAAGGGTATTCTCGGCTACACAGAAGAAGACGTAGTGTCATCCGACTTTGTTGGTGATTCCAGGTATATTCAAATATCCTTCCCCGAACAATCTGATGTTCAATTGGGGGCATGCAATGTCTTTAGATATGTTTTGATTCCCACAAATTCTGTTTCTGATTGGAAACAGGTCCAGCATCTTTGATGCCAAGGCCGGGATAGCTTTGAACGATAACTTCCTTAAGTTTGTTGCCTGGTATGACAACGAATGGGGTTACAGGTAAAACACTGCTGTTTCTCCTCACATAACACCACTTGAACTTTGTTTCCTTCACCAAGGTCCCGTTTGGCATTAGCGTTTTTGAAAAGGTTATCCCATGGTAGTCTTTAGCTTTAGTGTTTCCATAATTAATCTACACCATTGAAATTTTTATCCAAAATGCAATCGAAAACGTTGTTCCCAAACAAGGCCCAAATTGTCCATTCTAATTGATGATGATGATGATGATGAACATTTGTGATTTCTTGCAGTTCGCGAGTGATCGATTTGATTCGCCACATGCATTCCGTGGCTCAGTGAGGCGGTCGGGGCTTTGGACGCAGTTGTTGCTCAGCCGCCCCGGAGGTTTTTGTGGTCTTTCAGTTTTCTTGGCATATTATGTAATGAATAAAGGAGACAAGTGTCTTTACTCTTTTAGCTACTCTGTTTAGTTTTATGGCATGTTTTGGTTCGCAGTTTATTTGCTTTTATTGTGGAAAATAGAAAGAGACTTTGTTTAGTACTTCAATGTGGTGTAGAGTTCTTTCTAATATAAGATGGTTTTGCTAAGGATCTCCTCTTTTACAGTACTCCGTATAAATGGTTTTACTTCTTAACTCTTAACTTTTGCTCCCTACCTTAAACTTTCTTTAAAATTATTATTCAAATGGTTAAATTTTATATCTTTTTTTTACCTATTTTTATTACGAAGTAATTATTTAATAAAATAATAGTCGTGTCATCTCTTTTTTTACAGGCTCTACGTAATTTTTAAAATATATAATTTTATTTTTAAATTTTATTACTATAATCAAATAAATTGAATTAAAGTATCTTTAGTCAAATATTTAGTAAAATTCATCTAGATCAAAATGTATTGAAAAAACAAATGGTATTAAAAATGTCCCAACTCCCTATAAATAATAAGCACTTTTACGCTTTTACAAGCCTAGGGTTTTTGTGATCTTTCTTAAGTGATCAATTTGTAGCATTTCAATTTCTAATTTCATTTCAGTTGATAGATAATTTTAATCAATGACTTGATAGTGTCATAGGATAGAGTGATTATATGGTGCTCATAAGGTTTATATGGAGCTTTTCACATATTTTTTTTAAATTTTAAAAATGTTTATTTCTACATTATAACATCTTATTTAACATATATGTCATGGACTTTAGGTGCACGCAATAATTTTCTCATTAGGATGATACCATTTGCGAGTTTCATTTGATATGCTCCCGCTCCGTACTAACTATCGAGTTTTAAATGGTCAAATTTTAATTATTTTTTACCTTTTTTTAATCATTTGATAAAATAATATAATCATTTAATTTTACACGTATAATCAAATAAGTTGAATTTAAAAAAATTGAGTGAAAATTCGTAAATCTCATATATCAAACAAAAAGAATATTTTATGATGGAGAGATGATTATTTTCCTACTCATTTAGTATATGCATTAATTAGGACTACTTTTGATCTCACAATATTTCTAAGCGAAAGTTAATCGCAATTAAGAATTTCCATTTCACTTGTTACTTTGTGAAACTTTTGACTTTTGTTCTCACACAACAACAACAACAACCCAGTTAAATCCCACAAGAGTAGGGTCTGGGGAGGATGTGTGTACGCAGACCTTGCCCCTACTCGAAAGTAGAGAGGTTGTTTCCAAAGAGACCCCGGCTCAACATCGAAAGTTGCAGTGTTTGACTAACTGCTACTTCATTAATTAAAGAAGCGCAAATGGTTTAGAGATCCATTTTGATTTATTCCATCACACCCCAAAGCCAAAAATGGTGAAATTTTGACTCCATCAGAGATGATTTCTTTATTCTAAGCAAATGTTAAAATGCAATTAAGAATTTGAATTTCACTAGTTACTTTGTGAAATTTCTGTATTTATAATGTTTTTCGTTTATAAATACGCTACCTTAGTTGAGCAAAACATATTCTTATCTAGCTGAAAGAAACTTATCATATTTTCTTCCGTTTATATATTTTATTAAAACTACTTTTGATCTCACAAGATTTCTAATTGAATACTGATTGCAATTAAGAATTTGCATTTCACTAGCTAGTTACTTTGAGAAACCTATTTTTGACTTTTGATCTCACAAGATTTCTATTATCTAAGAGAATGTTAATTGCCATTAAGAATTTGCATTTCACTAGTTATTTTGGAAACTTACTTTTGTATTTTCAATGTTTTTTCCTTTATAAATATGCTACATTAGTTGAGCAAACCACATTCTTATTTAGCTAAAAGAAACTTATCATGTTTTCCTCTGCTTTTTCTTACTCCCTTCACCCCAAATTAAGTTTCATATTTAGTTTTAACATAGTTAAATTTTATTCACTTCCTTTTTTATTTTTGTTACTCGTTTGAAAATATAATATAATCATATCAGCTATTATTTCGTATAGCTTTTGATTTGGTTTTTTAACGTGCAAAATTTAGTTTTTAATTATATTCCAGTTCTCTAATACATTATTTTGAAAATAATTTTTTTCAAACATCGTTAATTGAAACAAATGATTTAAATCAGGACGGAGCGGGTACTATTTATTGAGTTAAATTAGATCAAATTATATTCACGCACGCACAATGATTGTCTCTGTGTGTGTGATACACGGGTACAAAAATTAAGATACTCTTAGCGCACACCTTAAGATCAAATCAAATTCATCTAGATCAAAATGTGTTGAAAAAACAAATGGTATTAAAAAGCATGTTTCATTTGATATGCTACGTATTAACTATCAAGTATATTCCGGAGAATATTACAATGTAAATAAACAATTTAATTATATAAGTAATGAAATAAGCATTTATTTTGGAAATGTAGCTTGGTTTCCATAATTGAAAGTTGGGTTTACCATTTTCCTCCATCCCCTGTCGGAACAATCTTCTATTTTCCTTTTTCACTTTTTCATAATTCTCATTGTACTTTTTACCTCCACAATTTATCTCTTCATTTAATTTTTCTTGGTCAAAGTTTATAAAATTTGATATCGACCAAAAAGATATCAATAATTTTCTACTTCCGATAAATTGATGGTTTCTACTTCCGGTAAACCCCTCACCCCGAACCAAACGCACCTTCTCACCCATTCAATTGCCCCCAAGTTAATTTTGATTTTGGAGTCAAAATTTGACTCCAAAGTCAAAATTAACTTGGGGGTGCAATTGAAGAGGGTGGGGTTTACCTGAGGGATTAGAGAGGTAGGAATCGTCAATTTTACGAACAAGGCAGTGGAGCATCCTCGGATCATTTCATGACATTGAGAATCAATGTCATGGGAACCAAGGGGTTATTTTTTTTCTAAATAAATTTTCACTGAGTACGAAGTATTTTTTTACTCCCCTGCCTCGAATTTGATTAACTATTACTCCTTATAAATTCTCTCTCACCTCTCAATAATATTTTTTTATTTATGTGTTTTCATTGATTATTTGAAAAAATAAAATACTATTGTCACATCCTATTTTGTAGAATTTCTGAAGTGATTTTTTTATTTTTAATTTGTATTCATATATCAATTTTACAAATAAAAAGATTTCTAAAAATAAGAGAAATTTGCCTAGTAAATCTCAATTTATAACCACGGAAAGTGTTACTGTATTTCTTTTTGTAAAGAACTTGAAAAAGTACTCAAAAAAAAGTCCTAGACTAGAAACTAGAGAGAGCAATATCCTACGCCATAATCCGGATCAGTTATCATGGATCTGTGTCCCATCGGTCCTCCCGGCACCGGCCTGCAAATTAATTAATAAATGCGGGATATCTTCTTCAAACTGTGGGCGCACCCCCTCCATCCCCATTAATTGGTTCCGTTTCTTCCTTCACCGACGACCCAATAATGAATCATGAAATTCCACAAAGGACAATTTCCCTTTTCTTGTCATCTGCCAGTCAAAAAAAAAAAAAACACATGAACGTGGATGGATAACACGATGTTGACAGAAAGATCTCTCCTCTCTTCTTCTTCTTCTTCTTCTTCTTCTTCTTCTTCTTCTCTTCAGTTTCCACCTTTCTTCAACCTGGTAACTTTTTCAGTTTTCATCTGTTCCCAATTTTTGCTTCTTCTTCTTCTCCTTCGCATTCTTCTTAGATTCTTTATTTATTCCTGTGTTTGGATGATCCAAGAACCAGTCTTTTTTGGGTTTTCCCCAATGTGATTTTCCCTGGGGTTTGACCAAAGTTGTGGTCTTTAAGTGTCTAAACATTGCTGGGTTCATGAGAAACTGTTAATTTTTAAGTTTTTCAGAAATTTTAATCAGTTGTGTGTACTCAATTTGGATTGTTCCCCCCCTTAGCATATTGTGTCTGGATACAACTTTGCAACTTTTTTTTTAACATTATTCAACAATTTGTTGAGTTGTTCCCACATCTCAAAGTGAAGAAATTAAAGAAACTCTCTTTCTCTGTGTACTTTATTCTTTGAATATGAGATCCCATGGTCTTATGTGATTTGTTTGTCTGGATGGGGTGTGATTTCCCGAGAATGATTGTTTTAGAACAAATGGAGGGCGTAGATCGGAATTTGTTGTTTACTGGCTCTTATGCAGACTCCGTCGCACTTGCCATTACGGTGGGAGAGTTCAGGGGACCAATGGTGGTTTGCCTCTCCCATAGATTGGGCAGCTGCCAATGGGCACTATGATCTGGTCAGGCAGCTCCTTCGCCTCGACACCAACCATCTCCTCAAGCTCACCTCCCTGAGGCGGACCCGCCGCCTAGAGACCGTCTGGGACGACGCGGGCCCGCACTCCGATGACGTGGCGAAACGCCGGTGCCAGGTGGCAAGGAACCTCCTCCTCGAATGCGAAACCAAGAAGGGCCACAACTCTCTCCTCAGAGCCGGCTACGGCGGCTGGCTCCTCTACACGGCTGCGTCAGCGGGTGACGTGGCGTTCGTCAGGGAATTGCTGGCGTGGAACCCGCGTTTGGTGTTTGGGGAGGGGGAGTACGGGGTCACGGACATACTCTACGCCGCGGGTCGGAGCAAGAGCGCCCGGGTGTTCGGGCTTCTGTTTGATTCTTCGGTCTCGCTGCTTGAGGGGGAGAACGGGCACGTATCGGATGAGGGGTTGAAGATGGAGATGGTGAATCGGGCGGTTCACGCCGCGGCTAGAGGAGGGAATGTGGAGGTCCTGAGGGAGCTTCTATTGAACTGCTCAGATGTTTTGGTTTATAGGGACAGTGTTGGATCTACTCTCTTGCATTCTGCTGCAGGCACTGGGCAGGTTGAGGTGAGTTAGACCATTACATTCTCTTCCTTTTAGGACATGTTTGGTAAAAGTAGATGAATTGACAATGTTTAAGCCTTGGTATATTAATGGACTAAGTTCAAATGACCTACGGTGTTCCATTCAAAAAATTGATAATTCGTACATCCTAATCTCCTGTCTGCCCCCTGCACCCCACACCCTTCCCCCTCACCGAGAGGAAGGAGGAGGCCAAGAGAAGTTTGGGGTGCAAGGACGGGCATGAGGGTTTAGGGAGAAAGTTAAGGGATATGAACCATCAATTTTTTGAACAGAGCACCGTAAGAACCCCAAGTGG